TATTACGTTCAGGCAATCGATTACAGCAACTTCACGATTCGACTTGTGGATGCTGATGTTCAGAAGGATGATTGCTTCTCTATCCCTCGTCATTCCTTATTCATAAATCCTTCAGACAACAGGGATTATCTTCCATATAATCTTGGCTGGCCCGGTTACAGTAGTATCTTACATAGATCAACTTTTGTTTTTATAAATTGCTCAAATCCAATACTGAGTCCTTCACGCTATATTGTGGATGCTTCTTCATGCAAAAATGGTAGTAATCTTTTTAATTCCCGCAATATGGAGGGTTATTCCTATGTCTTAATTTCTTCTTCCGATGTCTTTATTGGTTATCCTTACTTGGGGGACCTACCGGGCTCATGTCATGTAAATTTCATGTATCGCGCGCCTTTCACTTTTCGGCCGAAAAATGAAACCAATACTCCCTATATAGGTGTCCAAGATAGTATTCTACACGGGTTTGATCTTTCATGGTCTGGGGCCTGTTGTGATTTTCTGAAACAGAACCACTGCAAACTTGATGAAGCTAACATAAGCATATATTGCGGTACGTTTCTCTCTCTCTCTCTCTCTCCCACACACACACACACACACACACACAAAGCTTACCTTAATTTGAATATCTTAACAACATAGTTTGCTGATAAAAAGAGAAAAATTATGCGTTACCGTTTGTCTCTTATTAGCTCTTTCATTCTTATCAGCTGCATAGTTATTCTATTAAAAGGATTTTTATTAAATTTATTAATTTAACTCTTTCTTTTATATACACACACACATGTAGGATTAAGCGGTGCTCCAATCCAAGCTGCAATAGGTAAGTAGCTCTCTTTCACATCACAGCTATTTTTTTCATATCAATTTGTGAATATAAATATGATGCGAAGTACTTTCATAAAAAAAAGATTATCATAGTTATGTTATTTTATAATTGTTTTGTTTGAAATAATAATAACAATTAATTATTATTATTATTATTATTATTATTATTATTACCACTACACACGGAACATTAAATTAACATGTATTATCCAAAGGGCAATGACCAGAGTATGTCTCTAATTAGTGGGGTTCCAAATCACTCCAATTAGACTCCTGTACTTGGCTTGATTTTTAAACACCCCCCTCTCCACAATTATATATGAAATTTTCTCTCTGAAATTTAAAAATCTTATAACTCTTTCTTACAGCCTTATTAATATTTAAAAAAAATATTTTTCTCTATCATAATTTAAATATCACACCCCAAATATTATATAAAAACTGACTAATAATAATTTGCAATATTATATACAATTCCTCAACCTTCTTACATCAAAAGCACTATGCATAATTATTCTATATTCCCCAATAAAGAGTAATATTGATGTTACCTAGTATTTTTTTTTTTAACTATTTGTTTGTTTTCCTTGTAGGTTTTCTGACTAATCATATACTTAGGTATCTTGGTAAGAACTTTTTTATTTATCTAAATTCTTGAACATAAAACTTAAATAAGGTTCAAGACAATAAAAAAATGGATTGGAGAGAGAGACTCTTTAGAAACTTTACTAATACGTGTAAACTCTCAAACTTTTCTACCTAATATCTTGAGAAATTGCATGTAAGATGGTGATCAAAGGTTGAATATGAAGTAAGGATATCCGCTCTACCCATCTCAATAAATACCCATTATGAATTTAACCCAATTAAAAATATGGCCAATTGAAAATATTCATTTAAGAACATATGGAATTTAACCCATCTCTAACTTAGCCATTGAACTATAAAAGCCTTACAATTTAACCCAATTACTCATAGCCGATATTTGAAAATATTTATTTTGAACGTTAACAGTTATATAAAAAAATCACATCATAACAAAAACATAAAACAAGATAGGAACACAAGGGGTAATTGATCAAATTAAAAAAAAAAATATGAGTAAGAATCGATAACTCGAGTAAATTTAAGAAGTTTTGCCATTAAAAATATATAAAATGGTTAGCCCTCAAAATGATAATCCACTCTATCAATAATGGATTCAATTCGATAATTTTTTAGTATATTTCTTCTTAATTTTGCTTTAAACTCTCCAAGTCTATTTCTAGCTATTAGGTTATTTGAATATCAAAACAGACTTACATGCTCTTTCCTTTAGTTAAATTTATGAATTATAAGATTCTGAACATCGACGCAATGTTTTCTTTTCCTTGAAATGTAGTTGTATGGCCGCTAGACAGGTATTTACCAGGTGTGGAGGAGTCTTTATTTATTATGGCTCTATTTTGCAAAAAAGAATTATCTATGGATTGGATTCGATACATTTATCTTGGGGGCATTTTCTTTAGCTTTTTGTATGCCAAAGTCTTAGACACTGATAATACCTTTTCTTTTCTTTTCTTGTTTTTTTGGTGAATGTAGTGGGCGAATGGATACTATATCGAATCCCTGTGAGTTACTTTATTTTGTCTTATTACAACATTTTCTAAGAAGAGTACTAATATATACTAACTAAAAAAAACTAAAAGGTGGCTGGGTAAATTTGCCTGTGAGTTGTGATATATGAAAACAATATATATATCCTACAGGATTTAAAAACTGGCCTTTTTGTTCATGCTAGCGTTTTCACTTGTTCTATAAATATCCTACAATATTTCACATATTTACTTTGCACTTCTTTTTTTTTTTTTGTAGGGCAACCACGATATTTGATATTCAACTTTGGTGAGGATTAGTTCATGTATGTCTTATTTAGGCTAAATTACAATCTTCCTCTTACAAAAATGGATGTGAAATTCTTTCATTCGATTCAAAGAATTAATCTAACTATTTGGTGTTAATTTAGATAATTATCCTAATTATTTATTAGTTTAATTAGGAGTATCATTCGGTTCAAAGAGTTAATCTAAATATTTGGTGTTAATTTAGATAATTATACCTAATTATATATTAGTTTAATTAGGAGTATCATAAAATATTACAAAAACCATACAAAAGTTTAAAATTATTACAATTCAAATTCCTTAATAATTTTTCTTGAAGGGATGATTTTAAAAAGTTCAATGCATTGGCATTGTTTAGCGCATGAGAGCATTAACATAGAAAATGTTTTGAGTTTAACAGATTATTATTAGAAATGAGCAAGTTTATCCATGTAATTTTATTTTAGTTTCTATTTGTTTAGCAAAAAACTATTCAAAGTGACTGTCAAGAGCAATAGAGAGCATTGCCTTTGTGTAATGTTGTTTATGTTTCTTAGTTTTATTAATTTGTTTTCATTCCCTTCATGTATTTATTTGGCAGGACCTAATTCTTATCCTTATAGCACGAAGACCATCTCTTTGGATTCACTAAGCATTCTCATAATTTTGCTCATTACAGTACCTGTGCTCATAGGTAAGTGTTCTCTCTTTTGCTTTCTTGAAATAACTGTGAACCATTAAATCTATATATATATATATGCAAAACCATTAAGAGCGATATAATCTCTAGAAGACAACATCATTACCTTTTGCTCATTTTCATCATTTAAATTGTTAAAAATAAGTCTTTCAAATTTAAACTCTTCAATTCAATTCAATTTAATCTAATTTTTTATTCAAGTTTATTTAAATTTTCAAAATTTAAATTTTTATTTTTATTTCTAATATTTCTCAATTGTTGATTTTATACCATTTTTTAATTATACTTTTTTTAAAAAATTACAGGTGAAAATTTTTATATTCTTGGCATTCACTGACATTTAATGGAAGTATTAATCAAATCACAATAGAGGGATCATATTAAAAAATATCTAAAGTAACAAGACTATATAAATAAAAAAATAATATTAAAAAAAATCAAGAATGGAGGTGAAAAATATACAATTATTTTGTTGTTTATTAGAGTTCTGAGTTTAAAATTAGGATGGAATTAAAAATAAATTAATTAAAGTTTAAGTACTCATTTTAATATGATTGTTCCAACAAAAAAGAGAGAGATATTTTATAAGGTAAATAATAAAATTATAAAATTTGAAAACAATATATATAGGCAAGAAAAACTCTCTCTCTCTCTATATATATATATATGTGTGTGTGTGTTTTGATTTTTTCCTAAAATCAATGAAATCTTAATTAAAGTTTATTTGGTGGTAAGAATTTCAGATTTGAAAAAATTCTTCGATGTTTGAATTAAGAATCATAATTTCATTTAGAAAAAAAAATTACATGGCAATCTAATAACAAACAATATGCTTACATAATTAATTAATGTTCTTTCAATATATATCATATATTATTCTTTGTTTGTGAGCTTCCATGTCTCATAACCTTATTGGTCTATAAATGGCAAAGAAGGCATTTATCAATGAATGGTAACATTAAAGAATTCTTGCAAAGTCATGATCATAATCTCACGCTTATAAGGTACTCTTACTTGAAGATTAAGAAGATAGCTCATGGATTCAATGACAAGTTAGGTGAAGGATGTTATTGCTCAGTGTATAAAGGAAAGCTTCGTAGTGACCGTTTTGCGGCTGCAAAAATTTTGCGCATAGAAAAAGGTAATGGACAAGAATTTATCAATGAAGTTGCCACCATTTGAAGAATTCACCATTGCAATGTGGTGCAACTCATAGGCTTTACTGTTGACGGCTCAAAGCGTGCCCTTATATATGAGTTCATGCCTAATGGATCTCTTGAAAAGTATATTTTTTCTAAGCAAGGAAGCATACTGTTAAGCAACCATAAATTATATGAAATTTCTCTCGAGGTGGCTCATGGCATTGAATATCTACAAGAAGGTTGTGATATTCATATTTTACATTTTGACATTAAGCCTCATAACATTCTTTTTGATGAAAATTTGGCTCCAAAAGTATCAGATTTTAGACTTGCAAAGTTATTTCCAACTAATAATAGCATTGTGTCCCTCACTATGTGACACGACTAAAAGATTGATGTCTTCTTCTAAGTATAGGAGTGTCGAAGTAATAAATAACCCGACAAGACTGGAGTTGGACCACAAGAAAGTTACTTATATAAATTACAGATAACAAATAATATAACAACAACAACAACAACAACAACAACAATAATAATAATAAAGAAAAAGGAGAAGAAGAAGAAAAAGATAAGAACTTTGAGATGAAATATTAATGTAAGGATTAAACAATGATAATAATAAATGTTAAGGTTAGAGGTTCCATTAATGGTATGTCAAACAAGTATAGTATAAACTCTTATTATTCAATTAAAAACCACACATAAAGGAGGTTCCAATCAGATTATAAATTGTTAACATGATCACATTAGTTATCTTATTCGATTAATACTAATACTTGTAAATCTCGTCAGGTATTGATGATTATAACTCATTTTAACAACAAATCAAGTTCCTTCCATAGCTCAAGTGTCGGTTATACCATACAGTATGAGCTATGAGAGTGCTAAGTATTTATTGCATCAAGTGTTATACAACATAAATCAAGATTAGTTATTTAACAAGCAAAGTATTAAAGAGTGAACAAGATAACAAATATAAAAC